GGGTACCCAAGAATTTCCTTAAGCCCGCACATGATTTTCTTAATTCACGGAAAATTCTTGCCTTAGGGAGACCTTTGATTCATAGCCAGGAATATGGCTAAATGGACGTTTCCTCTCATTTCTATTACTTCCTTTCTCCCCTTTTTTAATCAAAAGGAAAAAAAATAGAGGGAACAGTACAAGACGTGATGGTTTTTCTTATGTTTCCTTTCTTTTCAGTCTTTTTTGTTCTTACTTCCTTTTTCACTTTTTTTTTTTTTATTTTTCACTCACCCATCCACAATAATAATGATAATAATAATGATAACAATAATGATAACAATAATCATTATGAGACAGGCCCATAAGTGCTGTCCGCTATGTTAAAAATAACAATATTTCTAATGAGGTAGGCTCATAAGTGCTGTCCCCAGTGTTTATTTGACTGAAAGCAGACAGATCTAGAGCGAGGAGGGGCCTTTTCATTCGCGATGTTAGAAACCGTGTACATGCCCACCCATTTATTTCTCCATCATGATCAGTCTTTAATTCAGTTTGACAAATATGTTTCGGACTTTGGAAGGAGGGAGACCCAATTAAGCTAAATGTAGTGTACGATCCCGTCCAGAATGCTTCTGAAAAGTTGATTACTTAAAGAAGGAAACAAAAGAAATAAAAGAGAGCTGGAGGCGAATGCAAAGAAGCGCAATAACGAGCTGGGTTCTCAGTGGCTCTTTGGTAACCAAAATACATCTGCAGTCTTCGCCCCTGTCTCTACAGCATCCCATTTCCGGCTGAACTGCAACTGAACGCTAAAAATGAGATGACGAATCGATGACGAATCGAAAATTAAATTTGAAAAGGAAGAGTAAATCAAGCTTTGGGGACGCCATTTTGGTGTCTGGGGCTACATGCTACCCTAAAAAAAATGTATTTTATTTGCATGGACAGTAAGAAAAAAATTAATGGTGCAGCTAATCTCGTTCCCAGATAAAGTCCTCGTTCCTCGAGCCTCGCCCTCTGTGAAAGAATCAACAACAACAACAGCGTTTATTTAAACACGCTAAAAAATTCAGCAAAAGCTGATGTGGTCGTGTACGAACAATAAGACTAAATTCCTAACTAATTACAAGAAGACTATTGCAAGATTTCTACATATTTACAACAATAAAAATTCTACATGGTACATCATTATAAAATACGTGGCTTAAAAATACATTTGAGTACAGTGACTTTTTAAAAGTGTCGACGTCTTGAATTGATCTCATTTGATTTTCCGGAGAGTTCCACCGAGTAATTGACTTGTATGAGCATGATCGATTTCTTGACCATATCTGTCTTAGGTCTAGGTAACTTAAATGTCATTTTCCTCCTGAGGCCGTAACTACTTACATACTTTTCAAAACAAGGCAAAGAAAACAGGGTCTTATCTACACTGGAATAAATTTTTGGCTGCCAGGAAACGTGTGCATAGAAATCTTAAGTCTGGTAGGGAAGAGTATATCAGTAACCACCTTGGTGAGGCAATTAAGGAAAACCCAAAACGTTTTTGGTCCTACGTAAAGCGACTTAACCATGATAATCCGGGGGTTGCAGATTTTGAAGTGGACGGAAAAGTCGTAAGTGATAGTGGTCTTAAATCAGAAATTTTAAACAGTGTGTTTACTAAAGAAAACCTGGAGAGCATTCCAGAAATGAGATCTGATCCCACACCTGGCTTGGGCCCTTTGATTATCTCAGAACAGGGAGTCTTAAAACTTGTGTCCTCACTAAACCGTAACAAAGCCTGGGGCCCTGACCAAGTTCCACCCTGGTTTCTCAAAACTTTTGCAGCAGACATTACTCCAATTTTGACTGACATCTTTCAAGACTCGATAGACCGTGGTACTGTCCCCCGCAGGTGGAGAGAGGCAAATGTGTGCGCAGTTTTTAAAAAGGGAAAGAAATCTGATCCAGCCAATTATAGGCGGATATCCCTTACTTTTGTTGCGTCGAAGATCCTCGAGCATATCGTCCACAGCTATATTATGAAACATCTAAACGATCATAACATCTTAACTGACTGTCAACATGGTTTTAGAGCAAAGACATTTACAGAGATGCAGCTAATTCTCACCTTACACGACATGGCAAAGGCTATTCAGAGCTCATCGATTCACGCGGTCGTCCTGGAGTTGGCTAAGGCTTTTGACAAGGTTCCTCATAGGCGTCTCCTATGGAAACTGTACTACTATGGGTTCCAGGGCCCGCTTCTAACCTGGCTAGACTCATTTCTTACACAACTTTTCCAGTCAGTTGTCTGCGAGGGCCAAACATCAAGTCAAAGCCCAGTGACTTCTGGCGTACCCCAAGGTACAGTCCTTGGCCGGCTACTCTTTTTATTATATATAAACGACTTACCAGACAACGTGAAATCAATAGTTACTGAGGCTCTTTGCGGACAATGCTTTACTCTATGGCATTANTATATAGTTTTCGTAATTTAACTTTTATTTTCAACATCAACATAATTGTTTTTTTTGTTTTTTTATTAATTTCCTTATTGCCTTTATCTAGTTATTTGCTTTATTTTTACGGTTGGTGTGATATCTTTATGATTTTACTGACGTAATAACATGTAAATGTAAAAAAAAAACAACAACAACAAAAAAGCAAAAAAACTACAGTTCGTAGGACATGGTAAAAGATGATAATAAGCCTGATGCGCTAAGATTAATAATCGTTTCTCATACATAATCTCTAAGGCATTCCATTTTACTGTGGCAAGAACCTCCTTGCCTGGCGTACACCAATCCAAGTTAAATATTATTTTCGCCGCTCTAACATGCATAGATTCTAAGGTTGAGAAAAACACTCGACCACAAGAGCCCCAAACTAACATACCATATGTCAAAGACGGTGAAACTGAACCTTAAAATAGAAATCAGTTCTCGCCTGTTTAGGCAGGAAATACAAGGATTTAAGTAAATTCAACTTCTGCGTAAATGACTTCGCTAATTCCGATACATGACGTTCCCATTTAAGAGCATTGTCTATCTGAACACCTAGGCATCTTGAAGAAACAACCTCCTCGATAACTTAATCACCCATCTTAACAGCTCAGTTGTTTTGGCCCAGTCAATTGTCCGCGTCCAGCAAGCAGCATATATTTCGTCTTGGTAGGATGTGGAGTGAGACAGTTCTCGCAACACCAAGGGGGGATTATTACCATAAAATCCAAAAAGGAGAGGCTTTCGCCTGATTAAAAGCTGGGTATCATTTCAATAATTTCAGGTTCTCGATCAACGTTTCAAACTAATGCTGATCTCAACACTTCTTTCCCTTTGGAAGGACGTAAAGACAGCAGACTGACAATAACTCTCAAAAAAGAAACAACTACTTTGAGTTTAAATTTTCAAGACATGTAGTTTGTAACGTACCTTAATTTAAATTCAAATGTACAACAGTTAAATGCTCATTTGCAACTGAAGATGACATGAGAATGTCGAAACAAGTCTTGTAAATTTAAACTCAAAGTTGTTGTTTCTTTCCCTTCCTGCTAAAAAATTTCATCCATTAGCTCCGAGGCTGTAAGGAATATATTGAGACCCCCATCCTAGACAATGACGTGGCACATGTGACGCGCCCAATGATAACGAGTTTCCTTCTCCAACAAAGTTAACGACGTGGTCGAATTTTAGCCGGCAAATTACTCGCTAGTTAACCCTCGAATATATAAATACTCCAAGCGCTTTGCGTCGGTAACCTTTAAGGCCAAACTGATTCTCGTCAAGAGCCCTCTGGAAAGAGAAATTCGCTTTTCTTAGCGTTTTTTATTTCGCTCTTCCGAAATATTTTCTGTCGTTTTCAGTCACCTTCGAGGAGCAATCAACTTTGAAACATGGGTGCGTTCGCTAGTTTGTTCAAGGGTCTCTTTGGCAAGAAGGAAATGAGAATTCTCATGGTTGGTCTAGATGCTGCTGGGAAAACGACCATTCTGTACAAGCTGAAGTTAGGAGAAATCGTCACAACGATTCCTACAATTGGTATGATATGTGCACAACGACTATGGTGGACGCCATGACAGTTCGTTCTATCTCGTGTTTCCATTCTTTGTTGAACTTCAGGGTTTCAACAAAATATTAATTTTTTTCCTCGCAGGTTTCAACGTGGAGACAGTAGAATACAAGAACATAAGTTTTACGGTTTGGGATGTCGGTGGCCAAGACAAAATCAGACCTCTTTGGCGACACTACTTCCAAAATACGCAAGGTATCTCACAGATTGCCGTTCTTTTAATTACTCGTAGTGGTTTGCAATATCGCCGGGAATCGTCGTCATGCTTTGATCCACACTTTGTTTTACTAGTCATCGGTCTAATTTTTTTTTTTGTTTGTGATCAGGTCTTATCTTCGTAGTTGATAGCAACGATCGCGAGCGAGTTGGTGAAGCGAGAGAAGAGTTGAATCGGATGTTAAATGAAGACGAACTTAGAGATGCCATTCTTCTTGTTTTCGCCAACAAACAGGTAGGAAGGAACTGAAATCTCATGATACTAAAGTTTCAGTGCAGTCTCTTAGTAGTTGACAGAACTTTATTTGGGTCATTCCCCGCCTTTGTTGCAATTAAAGGCATTCGTGAGAACTTGACTGATCGGATATGGTACTCGGTCACTTTATTTCCTCCGTTGTTCAGAACGTTTCCTACCAGCTTTCGTTTTCGTCTGGAATGCAAGCGAAATGTTTGTGATTTTGTCAATAGTCCTGTGGACTGAATTGAAATACTGTACAGTTCTTTTGTTTGTGTTTTGATTTTGTCTCTTTAATTTTGATCATGTCAAAAGTATGCATTGAATTTCACAATTCGATTATGAACACACGTTCAGGTTTAGGCTTTGCTTCGCGTTATGGGACAGTCAAATATTCAAGGACTAGTTACTTTCAAGGAAAGTCGAGTAAGGTTTGTCGAGTAAGGTAATTTTCAGAACTAGAATAAAATTTTGGTTCCCAATCTGTGAATAGATTACTCTGAATTTTATCACCTTAACAGCATAGTACTCTTGGTGGAGAAACGAGATGATGCCTGGAAATAATGTAATTTGTAATAAACCTAATTGGCATAGATTGCTATTTTGCTGGCGCGTATCAGATGGCTGGAGATGGGTGTGAATTTACAGCATTGTAATTTGTGGTTGTTAAGATGTAGCTTTCTATGGCCAGCCTTCGCTGTGTTAAATTGCAAAGTTTTGTTTTCATTGAAATTTATTTTTTCAAAAAGATTGTCATGATGACTCCAGGTTTTACTTTTATAGGTTCTCATTTCCTTTTCTAATTAACTGTTATCTATTTGTGCGTGCCACGTTTTACATGGGATATCTTAAAACTGTTAGGATGGCACCACTGCATTGATCAGGGACACATGTTCTCTGTTCCTCTCTCTGTTGGTTTTTAAGGGTTTTAAATGCATCAGAACCATGTCCAGCCCTAATGCATTGCACTTATCTTTACAGCTAGACACCAGCTAAGTCAGATATTCATTTAAAGTATTTGTTAGTATAACAGTTGAGACAGACAGAAAGGAGCACACGGGAAGCGATAAAAACTTGCATATTTTTAAGCATATCAACACATCTCCTTGTAAGAACAAATACTCCCTTTCTTGCTTTAGTATTCTGGATTCTGCTAACGACTCAATTGATTTAAAAGTCGAAGAAGCTTTTTATATAAATAAGATCAAACCTGAACTTAACAATTACAGTATTATAACACTTTTCTAGCGTTATAACACTTTTCTAGCTTTTTAGTTCACACCTTTGATGTTTGGTGTCACATTAAAATTAGTACCTGCTTTTGTATGACATCATACTGTAAACCGCCTCCCAGTAAGCTCAATTGGTTAGAGCACTGGACTGTTGTGCGAGAGGTCGGGGTCAAGGATTTGAGCCCTGGCTGGACCACACTAGAGGTCTTAAAATAACTGAGGAGAATGTGCTACCTTTCTAAAATATGAAGAAATGGATAGACATTCTAGTCTAAGGACGAATAAACCATAGGTCCCGTCTCCTGCATCTATTAGTTAGTTAATTTGGCTAGGCAGGGGACATTAAAGAACCCACTCAGGAGATTACTGTGATGTGACCTGGCCTGTTTACTGGGAATTGGGGGAAAGGGGGCATCCTCAAATAAGTTTGCCTTGATTGTTTGTTAACTGCTGCTGCAGTCCGGCCAAAGTCCCCCGAAAAGTATTGTGATGCGCATTTGATCATATCTACATGTTAATTTGCGCAATATAAATATTAAATTATTATAATATTGTTAAATATTTTATTCATCTACTTGTCTGTTATATAATTGCTCACGTTCTGTTACTCGTTGATTGAAGATCGCATAAGCATGCCGAAACATGTCTCTCAAAAAAGTTGTCTATTTCTTACAATATTTATCATACTTGCTACTACTACTACGACCTTATGGAAACAGAATAACTTTGAAAAAACTGTCAACAACCACAGCTATTTCTCTGTAGCAAACCCATAGTGCTGCTCTGCTAGGCTAATGCACTGAAATACCATCACCTCAGGTGCCTGATCAATTAGTGGAGGCAAAGTCAGCAGGATTCTTCCGTAGGAGAGGAGATGTTTTGGCCTAGTGATTAAATGGCTTAACTCTTGGGAATGAGATGAAAGTGTTGTCAAAATGTTGAAGTTCAGCAGTTTGATCAATTGCCTGACTTTTTTATGCACCAAAAATTAGTCTGTCATCTAAAAGGAGATTAAAACTTTTGTAAAAGCATATTCTGTAGAAAGAATATGACTATTTATCAATTAAATAATGTTGTTTTCTGAGTTGAAAAATTACTTTAAAAACAGTTTTTTTACTATATTGATTAGGGCTGATTTTGATTAATCTGTCAAGCCCTATTCCCTTTTTTTGTTTCCTTTTGTTTTCTGGGCATATTCAGGGCGTAAAAGTAACTTTTTTTTCCGGTAGCCACTTGGCTCCTAAATATTTTAAAGTGGTGGCCAATTCCAAAAAGTTGGTGGCCATATGATACACACACACACACAAAAAATTTTTACCCTGTCACTGTACTAGTCATACAACCAAAAAAAATGAGCCCGCTAAATTCGCACAAGCTACAAAGAGGACACTAGAATGGATCCTATACAATGTTATAGGTTACCTAAATCCAAGATGGCGTCTAGTGACAGTAGATTTACGTTCGACATTGTGCATGTGCTGCGTTTTGGAAACGAGCTTAACGAGGAACTTTGCTGCAGATTAATCTTTACAAATCTTCAACAATCACTAAATCTCTAGGTAAAGAGTGATTAAAAATTCTAGTCGCCAATTTGGCGACTGACTCTCAAGATTTGGTCGCCAAAGTGAAAAATTTAGTCACATTGGCACCTGTACTAGGTGCAATTTTATGCCCTGGTATTTGACTAGAAAGAGGGAAACTGAATGCAAATACAATCTTTGTTGGATTGTTCTCCAGAATTTTTTTTGTAATTATTATTATTGTTGTTGTTGCTTTTATTACTATTATTATTATTATTATTATTAACAGAATTTTACATTGCACTTCAATTTTAAGCATGACCATGTGACTATGACAGCTATCCCACCAATCACTCAATCAATTTTATTAAAAAATGCTTGAACTCAAAATGTTAGCATAATGTTTTAATTAACTTTGGCTTTGTAAAGGTCAACTCATGCTATAATTTTTGGCCAGCTGAGAGATTCATCACGGTTGAACACATTTTAAACAATTGTCAGTCACCTCCGTAGAGCTTGCACTAACTTTTCAACTTACTAGCAAAGTGGCTAGTGACAACTTAGATGTTACAACAATTTCAGTTTGTTTACTAGCCAAACTGGCTTYTGAAAATTGAAAACCACTAGCCAAAACTGAATTTCTACTAATCTGTGGCTAGTTGGCTACTGTTGGTGTCCAAGCCCTGCTCTGTTCCATGATAACTGCTGTGCATTAGGACAGCAGAATGCTACTGCAGGAATGCGCAGAAGTTTTACAGTTTTATTTTTTGTTTACCATCTTCTCATTTTCATGACCGATTGGAAACAAAAATGGAAGAATTGTAATCATAAGTTAGGTGCTGTTGAAGTAAAGATAAATGTGTATTTTAGAACTTACAGCATTTCAAAATTTGATGAAATTGAAAAGTTCAGAGAAGTGAATGGGGAAGTTTGCAACAGAGAAAGTTGTTTTAGATTTAGAAAAAAAAATGCACTTTTCAATTAAAAACAAGCTTTTGTTGTTTTGCAGGATTTGCCTAATGCCATGAATGCTGCTGAAATAACTGACAAGATTGGCTTGCACAACTTGAGAAATCGCATGTGGTACATTCAGGCAACATGTGCAACAAGTGGAGATGGTTTATATGAAGGACTAGACTGGCTTTCCACACAACTGAAAAAGGCATCTTAATGAATATTCGTGAACTTGAAGTCGTGCACATAATAATCTTTGGGCAAAGACAGTTTAATAGGGAAATGAAGATCCATCCAGTGGCTCTGAAATCATGCCTTATTGCACATTCATTAGTTAATTATTTCACTGCTTTATTTTCATAGAGATAAATTAAACCGTCTGTTCGTTGTTTTGCTGGTAGTAAAATAAATGATTTAGAGGCAAATCAGCAATACAAGGCATTTCAATGTCCAAGAAACTTCCCCTTTGCCATTTGTTATTCATTGTTGTACGATAGTATGGCAAATATTCAAGTAAGTGCACTAATAAGATCACAAAATAGTTTTCAATGAAATCATCTACTAATCTTGAATACAAGTTCTGAGGACAAGCCTGCTGCCTGTTTGTGCAGAGTTATTTTTTCCATGTGAAGCAAATGATAAAAGTACTCTATCTAATTATCGCTTATTTTGCATGTAGTTGTCAAAAGAAGCATTTGCAAAGTTCCCTTGGTTTGCCTCTTGACTGCAAAGTATACGAGTGTTTTTGTTCAAGCATTTTCAAACATCTGCAGAATCCAGTAATAATCATTCTCAGTAGTGACATCTTCAACATACAGTGAGCTTTTGTGAGATTGCTGTACATACATGTACTTGATTGCTTTGCTGTTGGCTAGTCATGATTAGGTGATCTCAAGGTCTTTGTAGAGCCTTAAAAAGTTTGCAAAACTTAGTGAAGAGTGCAGTGGAGAAGCTCGGAGTTGGTATGTTAGAGCAGTACTATGAGTTTGCTTAAGTTAAATGGTTGTGGTTGTTGACAGTTTCTTCAAGGGTAATTTTTCTTTTTCTTTGTCTGTCTTAACTGTTATATGAAATACTTTCAATGAACATCTGACTTAGCTGGTGTCTTGCTGTAAAGACAAGTGCAAGCAAATTCTAATAAAACTCATTTTGAAGATTTGTTTTCAATAGTCATGTGATAATGTTACTGCGTGCAATACGAATCAATATGCAAATTCTTGATCTGCAAACATGGGTCATGTGAGTAAGTAATTTTTATTTTTTATTTTAACCACATATTGCATATGAACGATAGTTCGTTTAAATGCAAATGTGGAAACCCACTCATCCCACCCCAAGTGCGTGGGAAATTAACGTCTCCTACCCCAAAACCTGCAGGAGACGGGAACTCCATTCGAACCTATCCGAGAAGACTAGACTATCTAACCATTTCTTTGATGTTATAGAAAGGTAGCGTATTCTTCTCAATTATTTATTGGTCAATTATAATTATTGGTCTGGACAGAGCTCGAAACCTCGACATCCCGCACAACAGTCCAGCGGTCTATCCATTGAGCTAACTGGGAGGCGGATTTGTGATTTCTCTTAAACGAGCATGGCCAACCAAAGGATACCTTTTAGATTAAGAATCACCCACTTTGCATTTGTAATTAACAATTAGTTGAACTGCTCGACCAATCAGATTGCTGGAAACTCTTTGCTCAGCTCTGAAATTATACTAATGTGCGATATGAACTTTGTAGTCGGTGTGTTATCGAAGTTCATTCGGCCCCCAGGCGTCGTCGAAAAAAAAAACTACCAAGAATCTGGGTATTCCAAGTTGATCCAAAGACCAAATTCCCCAAACTATCATGAATTGTAAGGCTAACCAGACAAAGAATACATCGAGCATTACTCCTGACACCATGTAAAAGTCGACTGAAGTTTGAGGATGCGAGAGAGCTGAAGTTTAATAGAAGATCCCTCTACTAACTTTAAATTATTTGTTGACAGCTTATCGAGTGATAACCTCAACAGCTTGTTGTGAGCTCCACTCAAATAGACATGAATATCTATCTAGAAAGTCTTAATAATCACGTCACATTCCTTTCGTGAGTAGGTCATCTGAGTACGTGACCAAGCATAACATTCTGAATGTACTCAAGTATCCTAGAACATTACTCCGTCTCCACCTCCTCTCTCCTTTTATGAAGATACTAATTGCCACCTTCTCTTGGGTACAGGCTAACTTTGCATGGTGTCTTTATATTTTAGGTTACTGCGGTCTAGCTGATAGACACATGGAACAGAGATATTTAATGCCATCATCTTATGAATCGATGGTCTGTATTTGAAGTTTCTCTTGCATCTCCAATGCATCCTTCTGCCCTTAAGTGAGAAGAGTGTATTTTCTATAGTATCTGAGGATGCGTAGCCGTTGGGATGAGGACTCTGGTTCCCATACGTATCTATAACCGCAGTTCAAAATATATGAACTTCATATATTCATCATATCTAAAATTAATACTCTTCTTTTTTATAGGATTTACCTGGTGCATTGGGAGCAGGGGTTTTAACTGAAAAACTTGGTCTATTGAGTTTGAGAAATCGTACATGGTGCATTGTAGCTTCATATGCAATAAGTGGAGATGGTTTATATGATGGACTAGACTAGACTGGCTCTCAACGCAAATACGCGACTTTGCTAATACAGCGTCAAAATAAATGCTAGAATTGGCCGAGCCCGTACCAGGTAGCTTAAGGGGCATCTTGTGTTTTTTTTTCGGTTCTGCATCTCATACAACATCAACAAAAGATCGAAGGCGCACGACAGGTTCGCCCAATCCCAACGTTCATTCCGAACTCGGTTCGCCTATTGGTTAACAAGACTGGTGAACTTGGAGAAATGTCATGGAAGTGAATCAAAATAACATTCTCATTTGAACAGTTAGACACTTTCTCCACATATGTTCAAAGACGATATGTATATTCTAGTTCTCTGTACATATCGATCTTATCTCAGTGAACCAGGGCCAGCTGTTGAAAATTTAACTTGTTATGAAGGAAGTTTATGACTGGTGTGGTAGAAACCAGTTAACACCCCATCCAGGAAAGAGCGAAGCGATGCTACTTTGTAGGGGAAACCCAATGGGGCCGATTGCCCCGGTGTTATTGGGTGACTCCAGTATAAAATTATAAAATGGGTGACTAAAACACGCGTGTTAGGCTTGACAATCGACCACAAGTTATCATGGGATGCACATTTAATGGATGTTAAGAAGAGTTTTGCTAGCAAACTATACCTGTTAAAACAATCTAGTCTTGCCAAAAAGCGTTTTGAGAGACTTCTACTTTGAGGTTATTTTGCCCTTTGAGGTTATTTTGTTAAATACGGACTAGTACTGTGGGGAGCGTGTTGTAACTCAAATTTACTTGATTCAATTGAAAGACTTCATTGTAGAGCATCTCGAATCGTTTTTTAACTTACCAAGAGACATGCCTTCAAAAGAGGTGCTGGCCTATGATCGGTGGCCCACTATTTACTTGTATTATAAAATAGATGTTCTTAAGATCTTTTTAAAGCACAAAATGGCGGCTTGCCTGAATTACTGTCTAATAATATTTACATAGAAAGGAGTAATGGACATTCACTACGGGGTGGAGACTCATTATCAGTACCAAGATTCGAAACTAGATTTATGAAGGATTTGCTTACTTACAAAGGCACCGTTCTGTGGAATACGATTTGTCTCAATGAGAACGGAACATCGCATCTGAGCAACAAAGATCGATATCCGATAAGAACAAAAGATTATTTCAAGGATTTTAAATTCGAGACTACCTCCGCCTCGACAACGCGGCGTAGAAATGCAGATTTAATATCTAATTGATGATTATTTATGTATATTTTAGTGATATTTTACCTATTCAGTAATGATTTTATCTCGTAAAAAAAGGAATTTTAATGTAAAATTCGTAATGTACTAGTTACCAATCTTGTCAATATTTTGACATTTTATTTACATTAGGATTTATGTCTTTAATTATTAATACACGACCCGACAAGCTTGTAGCTTTAAATTTTTATCGTGTTTAGATAAAGGTCATCCATCCATCCATCAGCTTCTTCTGATTCAAAGGCATAAGTTGTTGTAGCAGGTACTGTGAAAGGAACAGTAATGCTGCGTCGCTGAGTCGATAATGGTGATGTTTCGAGCGTCAGCATGCAGCACTCGCTCTGACGAAGGAGAAAGGCCAGAAACGTTTACAATTTTCATCTCAGTTGATAAAACCAAAAAATTTGTGACATAAATCACAAATTCTTCGCTCCGACGAAGGGCTAACGCTCGAAACGTCAGCTTTTGTAATCGTTACGGTGGCCAATTTACCATTTCAACTTTGTTGATATATCCAAATTATTATATAAATCACAAAGGACATCAAAATGTGATAATGATACCAGTGAAACACTCGGCTGCGCCTCGTGTGTCCCCTTTTTTGTTATTACCACATTTTGAGAGTAGCGGTGGTCTATTATTGAACAGCCATGCGCTTGCCTCACGGTTTTCTTTGTTAAAATAGATACAGGTGACCGGAAATGAACTCGAAGACTGCGGCGGAAACCGAGCCTCGTTCCAAAGAAAGACGAGGATTCTGGGAATGACATCGGCAGTTGTACGCGTTAGAAGCGGCGACGTGGTAGTAATTCTGTCCTCGGTTTTTAGCGAACTAGTTTGAACTATAACTGTTCTTGCTAGTCTTAGATCTTTCAAGGTAAATACCTGTTATTGAGAAGTGGCATCAAATCACTCAAGAACTTTTTCCGACCTGCTTTTTCTTGATATTCTCTCGCGTTTTCAGTTTGGTTTCAAGGATTCATCATACTGTGAAACATGGGGAGTGTATTTGGTAAACTGTTCTCTGGTCTCTTCGGAAAGAAGGAGATGAGAATTCTCATGGTCGGTCTAGATGCTGCTGGGAAAACTACCATCCTCTACAAGCTTAAACTAGGAGAAATTGTCACAACGATTCCAACAATTGGTATGTACAAAGAAATACTTCTGCAGGCCATGACAGTTCGCGTGTAATTTAATTGATGAGTGGTTCTGGTATTTGAGATATTTGTAAACTTAATTTCATAGGTTTTAACGTGGAAACAGTAGAATACAAGAACATAAGTTTTACAGTCTGGGATGTTGGTGGCCAAGACAAGATCAGACCTCTTTGGCGACACTACTTTCAAAATACACAAGGTACCATACCTTTACCGGTTAGAAATGTTGTGCAATATCATTATCAAGCGGTTTGGTGCGTTGATCTTTGGTTCATTGTTCGTAAATTATGGTCTAGTTATCGGTCTACATGTTGTTTTCTTGTCGTCAGGTCTAATTTTTGTAGTGGACAGCAACGATCGTGAGCGAATTGGCGAGGCAAGAGACGAATTGAACAGGATGTTGGGCGAAGATGAACTTAGAGATGCTACTATTCTTGTGTTTGCAAATAAACAGGTACCTTTAGCGATCTTTGGTGGCTGTGCTTTTTTGTTTTGCTACTGTTTACCTTGGTCAGCTTAAATATACTAGGTCCATGATCCTTTAGGAAACTTACTAGGCTCTTGCGAGCTCGTTTGTTGTATTTTGTGGGAGGTATTCTGCTCTGTAGTGACAATTCACCCCCACCTACGCACCCAGAATGGACTTTTCTTGCTCTTTTTAATTTACTTTTTTACACTGTCAAAGTGAAAAAGTGATTTTAATGTAAAAAGTCGTAGAGGGTTGGAATTCTTGGATAAGAACAGAGATAAGCAAACTAGACCCGAAAAAGGTTAACCAAAAAAAAAAACATCCATGGAAAGAACTCATGAATTGATTTCATTCAGATACAAGACGGGAATTGTCGTGGCTAATGTTTTCTGAGGAATGGTGTTCAGTTAAGCTTAAATTCGCAATTTTCCTCTCACTTAGAAGCTTTGGTATGAGCAGGAAAATAGTCAATGTTTTTATTCTGCCTGTTTGTGGTTTATTACACAAGTACCTTTGTTATCTCTGTCATTCTGGATGTATACATAGAATTCCATTTTATATTTAATAAATCATGTTGCAGTCTTGTAATTCATCTGTTATGTTGCTCAACTTTTTCAGGATTTACCCAATGCTATGCAAGCATCGGAAATCACAGACAAGCTTGGTTTACACACCATGAGAAATCGTACGTGGTACATCCAAGCTACATGTGCAACAAGTGGAGATGGTTTATATGAAGGACTAGACTGGCTATCAACTGAACTTAAAAAAGCAACTTAAAAAAGCAACTTAAAAAAGCATAGTTAATACTGTTGAACTTTGAGACATGACATAGACAGTGTATTAAAATAACTTACTCATTTGATAAGATAATTTCTCCATTTATTTTCAAAAACCACTTGAATTTTCTTCTAGTTCCTTGTTTAAATTGATGTTACTTCAGTGAACCAGGCCTTGTTGAAAACTTCACATGTTGTGTATTTGTCAACTTCTCACTCAAGCACATGAGATTTTTATCCTCAGATAGCCATCAATTTCAAAGAAAACCTGATCATCCACTAATATCAGAAGATGGTCTCCACACAACCAAAGCCTCACAAACTTCTGAATATGCTCTTAAGGGCTGATAGAAACATGTTCCAGTACTTTTTTCCTTCTAAAACTGATAGGATTTGGCTTATTTGTAATAATTCACGTGAAGTTTTTTGCCTTTGGTAATAGTTCAAGTTTGTGGTTTGAGAGACATTTTCCAAAATGTATGATACCACCTTAAATTTTTTCTGTTAGACATGAAGATTTGGGTGGAAGGTGTGCTGGTTTGATATCAGGTGTGAGAAGTTGCATAAATACCATTGAATGAAAGTATGATTAACAAATAACTAGTTATTGTTTAGTTAGGTTTTACTTCCAAGATGAAGAAAATTGAACAGATTCCAAATATGCATATATACACTGTCCAAAGCTTCAATTTTATCTCTTAACCTTTACACTCCCATCTTTTTCATCCAGGAATGTCCTTTTAGGACAGTAGTCACTAGTGTTAACAGTGTTAAGTAGCAAGATCAGCACAACATCGAAAAAATAATTTGCTCAGGCTAAGGAAATTCAGTTCAACAATTCTGCATCATAGCAGTTGAATTTTTCAACCTATGATAAGGACCCTAAACTCCTTAGATTTGATCAGTTATAGGAGTTGCCCATTCTTCCTGCTATTCTCTTTATTTTCCTTGTAAGTTTGTTGAGAGAATTTTGTGTTAAAACAAGATAATGCCCTCTGGTTGTTAATTTACCATCAATTTTTTTTCACTGGGTGGCTGGATAAAGCTGATCATGAATTTCACAAAGAGAATTCAGAATCCCTACTTTGCCAAGACTTTAATAGCTTTAATGTCAACCTTACATTTCTTATGATGTTAGTTAGAACTTGTTAAATAAAAAAAAAAAATCCCCAACTGATACTGAAGGATTATTTTTTTATTTGCAAGAAATATAAGCCGAGTCTCCAGGATTCATGAGTAATATTTCCTGGACTTTAAAAATTGTGATAATTCTGAAAGGATTGCAAGACAACAGCTGACATTTCAACAATCTATTTGTAACTGAATTTGTTTTTTTCTTTTTAATGTAAAGCTTGCGAGAGTTGTACTTTGAGTCTCAATAAAGAAGCACTTAAACATTTTCCTTGTTTTATTTTGTTGTTGTTTGTTTTTTTTACTTTGAAGTTTTTGAGATTGTTTCTTTACATGAAACCTTATATAAAGTGAGTGCAGAGTTGTCCTTTCTTGGTTTTTTGTTTCTGGTGTCCTTTTCTCTTACCATTCTTTACAAACGTTCTACAGTAGAGACTTAATGAGAAAATATGGGGTTTTAAACAAAAATGCTGCCCAATCAGAGTCATTTATTGTTTTTAACAACTAGGTGTACTGCAACTCATTCAGGACTAATGTTTGCAAGGGTTAATTCAGGGAAGAACTTGCGCAGCATCTCTGCAGCATACTCTTACTAAGAAGAAAAACTACTGGGTCACTACACTAAACTAAGGTTTATTTTAAAATACAAATGAGATAATCAAACAAAAGAAACACACTAAGTCATCAAAACAAGCTACGAACAACAGCCAAATCGCCTTCGATTTGTTTTCATACTTGTCGCTGACGTCCATCTTTTTTTCTGAGGATGAAAAACCTCCACACTATTAAGATAATCTGTTCCATTATAACCACCAAAAACATACAACAGACCATCAATAACAGCTATCCCAACACCACTACGAGGCTCTTTCATGGGTGCAACTATCATCCAGGTGTCAGTTTCAGGCTTATAGATCTCAACACTTTCTAAACTCTGATGGTTGCATCCACCCACAGCAAACAAAACATCATTTAAAACTGTCACACCAGCCATAGAACGTGGAGTCTTCATGGATGACATTAGCTGCCACTGGTTGGTTTGATTGTTGTAACACTCTACAGAGGAGAGATCAGTCACACCATCATAGCCACCTGGAAAAGGCAAAGGAAACTTGTTGAGGAAGAAATGTATCAAAATGTACCAGCATTTATGGCTCAACAAGGACACTTGCCCTCAATAAGGGAATCACACTTTTAGACTCCTTGCAAAACCTCTTGCCAGTTCCCGTTGCTAAAGGCCTCATAATTCACCCCTTATATTTAGTAAAGTAATTTTTGGCAATCTTCATTAAACTGTCTTTAAAGATTCATCACATATTGATCTCTCTGAATACTGGATCAACCTACCAACTGCATAAAGCTGACCATTCAGGGAGGCTACCCCAAGCATGCTGCGTGCTGTGTTCATCTCAGCGACCATGTTCCATTCTTCAGTTCTTGGATTATATCTCTCAACTGTGTTAATAGTGACTTGTCCGTTATACCCTCCAACTGCATATAATAAGCCATCAAGAACTCCGACTCCCACACTACTCCTGTGTTCTATCATACTTGCGGCTGGGGTCCATTTGTCAGAGCATGGATCATACTGTTCTACCTAGGAAAGATTTGTTATGCAGGAGAAACAGTGTAGGTGAGGAGAAATGAAGGAGGGCAATAAAATAGAAGCTTTAGGAAGAAATACCATTGAAAAAAAAAA